CAAATCTGTACTGTTAAAGCTTTTAAGGCTTTTACATCTTTTAAAGCTTTCAAATCTGCTAAAGAACGGCCTTGATTTACCAGTATTACTTTAGCTAAAGAAGAAGAAATATCGTTAAGCAGGCCTGTACCAAAATTTTCAGGGGGCAAGCCAAATTTCGGGGCAGAGGGGCAAATGCCCTCCTTGCCCCTCCTTGCCCCCACCTCCTGGCTACAGGCCTGTCGTTAAGACAGACTAAAATCTGTTTTTTGTTTTCTGTTTTAGCCTTACTTTTACAAACGTTTGATAACTTGATAAGTTAAATAACAGTTAAATAATATTTTGTATCTTGTAGGTTTCTTTTTAAAACGTTTCTTTGTTTTGTACGTTTTCTTTTCAATTTCGGCTCAAACTCTCCGCAACTCTGACTTTCAAATCAGCTCGACAAACGCGTTTTGTTCCTCGAGATGAAACTCGTCGCGTTTCAATGGAAACTAGCTCGAAATTTGAATGCAATTGATCCAGAACTTGATTCAGTTCGTCCAGAAAAGAGGACAGGAAGTCAAAGAATCGAAAAAAGGAAAGAGATCTTCACGTGAATCACTTTGTGTGAATTGTAGAGAAAAAGAGCAGTGGTTTTTCTCTTTTCTCGATTTGCATTTATCATCCGGAGGTAAACACAAGAAAAGAAAAGGGAAAAAGAAATAAAGTTTGAATAGGCCAAGAAAAAACATTTGTTTAGTTTTGAAAAAAACGATTTTGAATCAAGGATTTGATAGATTTCCATTGATAAATCAACGATGGAATTTCTTGTAAGTTGCATGGCTAAAAGTCAACTATTTGACTCATCTTTAAGCTCATTTTACTCATCCTAGAGATCATTTTACTCATCCTCATTTTACTCATCCTAGAGATCACTTTACTCCTGCTAGAGATCATGTTACTCCCGCTAGAGATCATTTTACTCATCCTAGAGATCATTTTAGTCCTGCTAGAGATCATTTTACTCATCCTAGAGATCATTTTAGTCCTGCTAGAGATCATTTTACTCATCCTAGAGTTCATTTTACTCATCCTCATTTTACTCATTCTCATTTTACTCATCCTTATCCAAAAGTTCTTGAGCTACTTTCTGTTTTCTGATGAGATTTTTGGAGCTTCTCTTTGACTTTCTAAAACAAACCTTTCTTTGATTTAATAAAATGAATCTTTCTTTGGCTAAAAACTAAAAAATGAACCGAAATCCTTGAAAATAGCTTAAAATTTGGAAATTTTAAACTTAGAACGAAAGAAATTTTTGAAAAACAGACAATTTTCTTTGTTTTAACTTGTAAAAAATGATTTATAAGGCATTTTGAATTAACTTTTTTTGAAATTACTATTGATTCGGTCTCGTAGCCATATTTAGCCTTAGATGAAGTTTACCAGTTTAAGGCTGCGTCCTCAGGCAACCCGACTCCAAGGAACGACCGACCGACTCCGTCACCACTCGTACAGGACTTGCACCTTCTCTGATCTATGGCTTTGAGATCTATGGCCAGTCAAAGGGACTTTGAGATTAATCCTTAAACCATAAATAAAACGAATATCTTGAATTCGAAATCTTTAATCCAATATGTTTTAATGAAAAACGATATCTTTAAGCCAGTTTAAGCATCTTTAAGTTTAAGCATCTTCAAGTTTAAGCATCTTTAAGCTTAAGCATCTTTAAGTTTAAGCATCTTTAAGCCGATACCTTTGAAACCAACTAGCAATTTTTTAGACAGTCAACTTTTCTCTGTGTTGACTCAGCTTGACTCAGTTTTCCCGTAAAGGAAAATCAATCAATTTTCCTTTTTATAAACTTCGATATTACGAGAAATTGTAGTTGATTGTAAAAAACACGTTGAACGTTATTTTTTTGACATTTTACAAGCGCTTATCACAATGGAAAGTCTTCGCAAAACTTTTGAAAGAAATGATCGCCAAAAGAAGTCCTTGTGATTTGATTCTACTAAACTCCCGTTCTTCTGAAAAGCAAATTGTTTACTTTTTTCTCGTAAAAGATGGCTTCTATAGGTCAAATGACTGTCAAATGGTCAAAAGATGGCTTCTATTGGTCAAATGACTTTTTCTAAGGTCAATCGAGATTAGAAATCCTTTGTAAACGAAAGATTTAAGAGACTTTTCAAGAATGACTTCGAGAAGCTTGTTCATTTCAGCTCAAGTTCATTTCAGCTTCAGTTCGAGAAGCTCAAGAAGCTTGTTCATTTCAAAATTCTGTCATTTTGCAGGTTATTGTCGAAATTTGAGTAAAAGATTCATATTTCAGCTTTCATTTTTGTAAATTACCTTGCTTTAATCTTGATTACATCATCTAACAAATGAAATCTAAACATCTAGCTCTAGATTAAGCCAAGATTGCTTACTGGATCTTGAATTGATCTCTGTAACTTTTATGCAACCCTTTTATGCAACCCTTTTATGCAAACTTTTATGTAAACCCCTTAAATGCTTTTTTTTGTACTTGTTAACAATGTAAAACTCTAAATTTATGTAAAATGATCTATAAAATATAAAATAATATACAAAATAGTCGTTTTCTGCGTTTGCTAAAACGAATTTAGCTGATTTACTCGATAAATAGAGCGCTCACCCACACATTTCAAAGCTTTCCGCCTCTTTTTCTTTGTTTTCCTTTTCTTTCCTTTTCTTTCATCACAAACTATCGAAAGTTCCGCTTGTTAATCCTGGAAATAATTCCAATATCACGAAAATTTCACTCTTAACACCTCTGTTCTGATGGCAAGAGCTATTTTTTTCGTTTTCACAATGACGTTTGGGTAAAATATTTACATCAGAATGAATTTACATCAGAATGAAACTCGAATACTTTAAGTCAAAGCTTTTTAGGATTATAAATCAGGTTATCTTATTTATTTAACTATCAAAGACAATGAATTAAAGCTTTCTGTGCTTTTTCTGTGCTTTTCCTGTGCTTTTCCTGTGCTTTTTCTGTGCTTTTTCTGTGCTTTTTTTGTGCTTTTTCAATTATCTAAAACTTACGATCAGATTTATCATGCAGTTTTAGCTTATAACATCATTTACGATACGCTGACAGAGTTGAAGACAAGAGGCAGCTGTAGCTTTGACCTAGCTGTAGCTTTGACCTAGCTGTAGCTTTGACCTAGCTGTAGCTTTGACCTAGCTGTAGCTTTGACCTAGCTGTAGCTTTGACCTAGCTGTAGCTTTGACCTAGCTGTAGCTTTGACCTAGCTGTAGCTTTGCATCAAGCAAATCTAAGCATTCATAGCTCTCAAGCTTAAGCAAGTGCCCGTTTTGCTCAAGCAAGTCAGGCAATTGTTTTCGGCTAGCTCTCGAGAAAAAAGATTCATTCAACTAGTTCCTGGCTTGCTTATGATATAGACTAGAAGCAAGATAACGGTAGTTTTTGACGATTTTGGGGTATTTGATACACGCCAAAAAAACCTTAACTTAGCTTTGCACCTAAAACCTAACGTAGCTTTGCATCAAGCAAAGTCATAGCTCTCAAGCTCATGCAAGTGCCCGTTTTGAGTCATGGTTTACTCTTTTATTCCTCATCGTTCAATGGGAGAGAATTATTGTGATGGTAGGTGGTGAATCTCCCTTTTTCTCCTCTTTTCCCTTCAATTCTCAATTCTCAATGTCTCTGCGCATCAATTCGCATGCAAATTGAGTGTCAACGCGCTGCGGGGCGCCTATCACTATGGGAAAACGATTGGAAATGTTTCGAGAAAGTTTTGAGAACTTTTTGTTATTGAATCCTCAACTTGAAAGATTTATCAATGATCTCTTAGACTTACAGGCTTGCAAACTAGTCTAGTCAAATTGGTTTGATTGGTTTTTTGAATTTTATCTTAATTTTATGCCACTTTCGGCCACTTTATGCCATTTTATGCTAATTTTTTTGTTATTTTGTTTGTTATCATGTCATAATACTTTTTATAACGTTAAAATAGAGCGAATTCGAGTGGTTAAACATCAAAAGAAAATCAAAGCAAGAGGAAGGCATCGGATCTGAGCAAGAACTCGGTAGCTTGTCTCGGAAACAAGACTCTTCTCCATTACACTACGAGCTCTCATCTCAAGACAGTGAAAGAAGCCTTATATAGGGAATGAAAACAAAAGGAAGGGATCGAACCCGAGCAAAAATTCATAGCTTGTTTCGGAAACAAGACTCTTACCCACTACACCACACGCCAACAGTTCTAGACGATCAAAGAAGCCCTATTGACTGATTGAAGCCTTAAAGCCTTACAGCTTTAAAGCCTTAAAGCTTTAAAGCCTTGAAGCTTTAAAGCCTTGAAGGCCTGAAGCTCTAAAGCCTTAAAACTTTAAAGCCTTGAAGCCTTAAAGCTGATTTTTGACTCATAACCTTCCCTTGTGAGCTTTTATCTTACTGATTTAACATCAAGTCAAGTCTGACACAATACAGAAACTAATATAGTGATTTAGTAGTGGGGTAGGCTTACAGAAAACCGAAACTCTGCACCAAGGATTTCCATGCAAGTCTGGCAAAACCAAGAAAAAATGAAAAAGAACCTTGCCCCTGACGTGAGTCTTTCTTATCTTCCCAAAGCTCTTCCATTTTCTCCACTTCTCGATTTTTACCCCTCCATTGTTTTGCCTTTTATCACCAAATTCATTTTGTTTGCCTGTCAATTAGGGTTCAGCCATTATTTGACTTCTGTGACTTCACCTTTTTCATAATGAAGACCTTTCATATAAGACTTTTTCATATAAGACTTTCAATGTTAGGGATCGAGTGCTGATTTTGAGTCAGCTAGATGAGTAGAGCTAAGCTAAAATGAATAGAGCTAAGCTGAGTAGAGCTAAGATAAGTAGAGCTAAGCTTTGAACCTCTCTTATCTCTCTCAAAACTCTTAAAACTGTTTATTTATTGATTGCTTGACATTGATTGCTTGACCTTATTGATTGCTTGATTCTCGATTTCTTGTTATTCATTCTAGAGTTTCTAACTTTAAAACTAAATTCCAGAAATGGCCGCAACGATCCGCGACAACTTTTGCTCGCTCAATCGAATGGAGATTCCACGTCCGAAAATGCAAGGATTCCAGTGGGTGCAAACGAGAGGACGACTAGGATTCTACAAGGTAGAAAGTGCAAAAATCTCATTAATCTCAAGCATAAAACTCAATCAGAACAAAGAAAATGAAAGAAGTTAGCTTATTAACCTAGATGAATCCCAAGAACCAAGCTCACAATCAGCTATTCTTTTGATTTCATTAAGATTTTCAAGCTCAAAGCTGATAAAACATGTTTCATTGCTAGATTTTTAACAAAGTTTCTTAAATCTCTACTGAATATGTGCTGAATTCAGACCATTCGTGCCAATGCACCTAAATACGGGCTCCCGGACATTAAGCCACCAGGGCCACGACGAGGAGTGCTTGGAGAGGATCTCTTCAGAAAGTACGGGTTTGAAATGAAATTTTGTTTCTAAAGGATCCTAAAGAATCTTCTGAGTGAAATCCCGAAAACTTTAAATCATCCGAATTCAAATCTGAATCTTTTGGGGTAGGCTAGTTTCCGCAATTTTTTAAATGGCCGCAAACAGGGTCATTTGCGCAACTTGCCATAACTTTCTTCTAAGTGGACGAATCTTTATCATTTTGGTTTCATTTTGTTGAACTTGTTGAGCTCTACAAAAAGAAACAATGAAACAACTATGAAACAACTATGAAACAATAATGAAACCAAATTTGCAAACTTTAATTACACAGATAGACTCAAGAAGTTTGTGTATGACTCTTTTCCAATAAGAACTGCGAGAATTTGGAATCTCAATAGATCTCAATAGATCTCAATAAGTACAACAAAATGAAACCAAAATCATAAAGATTGGCTGACTCAGAAATTCGGGTACAGTTTCATTGATGAAAGTACTAACACTGAAAAGATAGATGACGATTTAAAAACGATAAGATAGATGGTTGAGATTGACTTTTATGCACAATTTCAATGATCATAGTCTAGTCCTGCACACCATATTCCTTTCCACCTTAGACCTAAAGCCTACACGTTTTGCGCGCAGATTTAGAAATGTTTCCCAAGGAAGAAATCCGAAATTCAAACTGCAGAGTTCATTCGGCTCATTGCTCGGCCGCCGGTTATGGTTAGTTATGGCGACTTGCGCAAACGACCCAGTTGCGCAAATAACCCTGTTGGGCAAGAAACGTTGCGGAAACTAGCCTACCCCATCTCTTCTCTTCCCAATCTTTTCAATCAAGCCCAGTTTGCAAAAAGCAAGCTGGAAAAGAAACGGTAACGTAAAGTAGTAAGTAAAAGTATCGAAAATAGGTTCGCGTTTGATTTTAGGTGGTAAATTTTGAAATTTTGAAAGAAGTTACATAAAATACCCAGTTTTTCACTCAATTTTTAGTCAATTTTAAGCCAATTCTCGTCCTTTACTCATCAAAATACTTCTTGAGCTATTTCGAATTCGAAACTTTTAAATAGAATCTTTTTTCCACTTTCCGTTATCTCTTCCCCTTCCTCCGTTCAAGGCTTTGCGAGTTTTTACAATTTCAAATCCCTTAATCAATCAGTTGCAAATCTGGGAAAGAAACACCTGAATTGGAACTGAATTGAACTGAATTGGACTGAATTGGACTGAATTGGAACGGGGATTTCAAGGAATTTCAAGGAAATGTTCACTGTCACATGGAAAACTTGCGGGAAATCAAAGAATTATTGGAACAAAATTGCGCAAAAGATGACTAGAATGACAAAAGATGATTCAAAAGATGAAAATTTTCAGCTCAAGACCAGAGACAGTGAAAGAAGAGGACAGTGACGGAACGATCTCTCCACCACAGCCAACTTACAGACAGAATCGAGGAGCCAATAGCTCGACTGATCGAAGCAGCACTAGCAGCCAGGTAGAGCAGAAAGAGAAGAGAAGAAGAAAGAGAAATAGTAAGAAGAAAGAGTAAGGACTAATAGTAATAGTAAGAAAGAGCATTTCGAATAAGCATTTCGAATTGATCATAAGAAAAAGAGAAGAACTGCGCCAAAGCTGGCTTGAAGTTGAATTTGAACTATAGCTTTAGTCTAAGCATATAATTTAAAGCACTACTGCAATACAAAACAAATTTCCCAGCGTAAGAGCTCGCTTTTCAAAGTAACTCATAGGAGCTAGAGGCTTAACTCCTAAGTACACTACTGGAGAAGAATCTTATAGCAAGTATTGGTCTTAGCTATTGCTACAGGGTGGCCAAGAATGATAGCGCCACACTTCAGAGGGCCTAGATTAGCCAAAATACGATCAATCGATCTGATTTTTCTGGAGATAAATCTTAAGTATTTCTCCTAGAACGGTGCCCATTATCTAATCGATTCAATCTTTCAACTTTTCTATATGGCCTTGCAAAGTTGCAAGACAAATGTCACTCGGAACGCTACTCATTTATGGAATTTTTGAGAGCAATCTTGCCAACATCACATTGATATTGAATTTATTATCTTAATTAACAAAATTTCACATGTTCTTGGCAGTTTAAGTGCAAAAATTTTTGAGAAATGTCGCCAAAACTCACCTAATTTGGTCTGTTTTCAATTGAATGATTCAGAGAAGCCACTAAAGAACAAGAAAATCTTATTTTTTCAAGATTTATCGCTTTTAAATTTCATAAGTAAATATGATTTATTGAAAATCATTAAAATCTTAAAGACTTTTTATCAAAAAAGCTTTTTAAATCTCATAAATGAGTAGCGTGACGAGCGACATTTATCTCTCAACTTTGAAAGGCCATATAGAAAAGTTGAGAGATTAAATCGATTAGATAATGGGCACCGTTTTAGGAGATATACTTAAGATTTATCTCCAGAAAAATCAGATCGATTGATCGTATTTTGGCTAATCTAGGCCCTCTGAAGTGTGGCGCTATCATTGTGAGCCACTCTTAACATAAAAAGGAGACGCCATCAATAGCACTCCTTTAACAGCATTAAGTAATCAAAAGCTGTAAACATCGGTACAAATGCCGTTTACAGTACTACTGATGTACTGTACTACTCATTTGTGACTTTGTGACTTGCTACTCATTTGTTTACAGTACTACTCATTTGTGACTTCATAATCCCATAAGCGGTAGATCTTTTGAGTTGAAAAGCACGGAAACTTACAAAAGGAAAACGACAATGATTATATTCAAATTTTAGCTTTCATCGGACAGTTCTCGTCGCTCATCACCTGATCCGGAGCCCGATTACCCGATGGACTACGTTCCCCCGCAATTCCCTCCACTCCGACACTCTCCCCCGCGACTTCCCAGCTCGAAATCCGGGCAAATCGTTCGCAAATTCTAATCCTAACATCATTAATTTATCAATTTATCAATCAAATTTGATATTTTCAAGTTGCTAAAGAGTTCTCTTTGTGATTTGAAAAAAAAAACTTACCGTAAATACTGTAATAGTACCCCATCCCCATAACGACGGTGCGGAGTGTTGCGTAGTCTAGTTTTGAACGCGTTTTTCTCGACACTGGTTTATGCTACAATGCGCGTTTAGGTATCAAAAAATAGCTGAAATTCAGGGCTATTTTTTGATACCAAAGACGCATTTTTTGAAAGTACAGGCGCTTTGAAAAAAATGAAATACTAAAAACTACGCGACTACGCGACTTGCGACGACGCGACTGTACGAGAGGGGTGGGGTACTATTACAGTATTTACGGTAACTTTATCTTCTTCACCTCTGCAATCATCGACTCAAAATGATTCGAGCGAAAAAAAAACAAAAATTTTCATTCTTTCTTTCATTTTCCCTCAAAAATCTTTGCTTCATTTCAGCTTCATTTCAGTCCGCTTTAGCCCAGTGAAATGCTTGTAGGCTTTACTCTCTTTAAATAGAAATTTGCATTTATTCAAACTCCAAAAAGTTTCACTCGCGTAGTGAACGAACAATTCAATTGGTCACACATTTTTTTTCTACCTTTTTTTTCGATAATTTTTTACGTTTGTGCGCATATTTTTGTGTATATAAATGTTTTGAAAATGAAAAGGAATTTAAATGACATAAAAAATAATCAAAAAAACAATATTAAAAAGCAAAATTGTCTTAAAAATATCAGAAAAAAACAAAATTATTGGGTTGGTGAATGGAAAACTGCGGGCTATTGTCATCTGTGACAATTTGAGCACTTTCTTCAACAACCCTAGCCGAGCAAGACAAAAACGCTACGCTACGCTATGTTAAAACAAGTTCAAATTCGAGTCTGATGCCTTTAAACATCGATTTTTTTCCGTTTTTTTCTAGATTCATACGTTTTTAGAGTTAATTACGATAAAAGTAGTGCTTTTTTGACTTTGCTATAATCGTTTTATTGTTATTTAATTTGCTATAATCATTTCTATTGGGTTGGTGAATTGAAACCTGCGGGCTATTGTCATATGTGACAGTTTGAGCACTTTCTTCAAAAGAAACCCATTTTGGTGTCAATGGAAAAGTTGTAGAGAATCAAAAATCAAGCTTATATCCAAATTTTCAGAACGATTCAAAAACTGGGCTTCAAGAAATGCGAAATTTACGAATTTTCACAAAAATTGCAACAAAACTTGCATTTTAAGCGAAACTACTAAGTGTATCTTTTTGGAAATTTGGCTATAAGCCTAATTTTTGATTCTCTACAACTTTTCTATTGACACCAAAATAAGTTTCTTTTGAAGAAAGTGCTCAAACTGGGATCTCCAGTCTCCATCTACAGTCCTCCATTTTTGAGTCTCACACTTGTCTCACACACTTGTACTGGGAGTTGCTGGTTATCAAGACGACCGTTAATGCAATCAAATACAGTGAACAGTTGGGAAAGGTGAATGAACCCCTGAAGAAGAATAGGCCCTCCAAGTCAAAGATCGTTCTCATCCACGACACTCACGACGTTTTCATCCACGCGCACCCTCATGTTGCAAAACTGACTCGCTCTAAAATAAATAGCTTTGTTTGGGGAACTTTTGGCGCATTCCACCTACAGTCCGGACCTCGCCCCTTTTGATTACTATTTATTCCGGACCATGAGCTTGCGGGAGAACACTTCGATTCGAAAGAAGCAGTCAAAAATTGGCTTTGAAAGTTTTTCGATGCAAAACCTTTCAAACATTTTAAGCGAAACTACTAAGTGTATCTTTTTGAAAATTTGGCTATAAGCTTGATTTTTTATTCTCTACAACTTTTCTATTGACACCAAAATGGGTTTCTTTTAAAGAAAGTGCTCAAACTGGGATCTCCAGTCTCCATCTCCAGTCCTCGATTTTTGAGTCTCACACTTGTCTCACACACAAACCAAAATCCTACTACGAAAGAGGAATCCGCAAATTGCCTGTAAAATGGGCAGAAGTCGTCAATAATAATGGAAATTATTTGGAATGAATTTATGGTTTTATGTTGAATAAATTTTAGTTCAAAGTCCCGCAGTTTTCAATTCACCAACTCAATATATCAAAAACGATAGGGAAATGTGCATGAATTTCAACAAGAATTGCTCAATTATGCGACAAAATTGGGTAATTGAACCGGGTAAATGGTATGCCAAAATGCCAACGTTTAAAAGGGCACAAAATATGAACTCAACTGATGAGAAAAGATCTGAGCTGACTAGTAAAAAAGAAAAATCAAACGGAAATCAAGTCTAGAAAACTAAATGTTTACATGCAAGTAAACAAAAAACCCTTTTCAATGTTTTGTTGCACTTTGAGACCGGTTTTATTTGGGAAAACAAGGAATGGTATCGACTAGAAACAGACTGAAAACATTGATTGCTGATAGTTATTGTCATTTAGCCATTTCTGATTGTCATTTCTGATTGTTATTTAGTTATTCAATGTCGGGAAAATCAAAAACTGAAGATTTAGAGGTAACATTCAATCTAAATTCAGCTAAACTTTCTTTAGAAACCCGAGCCTTCGATGAAGGAAACGAGCAAGGATCCATGCTCGGAAAAGCGGGTCACTTGTCGGGTAAGATTGGAAATTTCTGTAAATTTTATTCTGTAAATGTTTGGATTTGAAACAGGCTCTAAAAAATAGCAACTTGTCTGCAAAGCTGTAAAAGCCCCATTACAATATGATGTACTGTCCCGATACGTGGTAAAAGGCGATTAAGTAATCAAAAGCTGTAAACATCGATACAAATGCCGTTTACAGTACTACTGACGTCATTTGTGACTTCATAATCTCATAAGCGGCAGATATTTTGAGTGGAAAAGCACGGAAACTTACACAAGGAGGGGGTGGGCTTCTACGTGATAATACATGCGTTTTCTTTTAAAGCAAAAAATAGCAACATATCCTGACGGCCATATCCTGACGGCCATATCCTGACGGCCATATCCTGACGGCCATATCCTGACGGCCATATCCTGACGGCCATATCCTGACGGCCATATCCTGACGGCCATATCCTGACGGCCATATCCTGACGGCCATATCCTGACGGCCATATCCTGACGGCCATATCCTGACGGCCATATCCTGACGGCCATATCCTGACGGCCATATCCTGACGGCCATATCCTGACGGCCATATCCTGACGGCCATATCCTGACGGCCATATCCTGACGGCCATATCCTGACGGCCATATCCCTGACGGCCATATCCTGACGGCCATATCCTGACGGCCATATCCTGACGGCCATATCCTGACGGCCATATCCTGACGGCCATATCCTGACGGCCATATCCTGACGGCCATATCCTGACGGCCATATCCTGACGGCCATATCCTGACGGCCATATCCTGACGGCCATATCCTGACGGCAACAGGACACGTGTGCTCATTGGTAAAGCGTTCACCCGTTAAACGAGAGGTCGCGGGTTCGAATCCCGGTTCCGATTATGTTTTGTATTCCCACCCATAAAAGGGATGATCGAGATCACAACGGATGGAAATTGCCAGCCAGACACCTTTGTGGGCGAACGCCTATTGTGCGAGATTTAATATGCGTCGCTATCCGTTCAACTCTATTGTGTGCAAGACGAGACCAACGCCAAAGTTCTGTATAAAAGCAATGTGAGTGAGCCGCCGAGGTGTGCCGTGGAGTCGTTCCTCGATATCTGCACTGATGCCAATTCCGAGTAAAATGGCATCAGTGCAGATATCGAGGAACCCAAGACGTCAAATATGTATTCGAGCATTTTGAGAAAAATATGAAGATGTCGAAAGATGGAAGAGTTGTCGTTGCTCTACCATTTCGAGAAGGAGGTCAAGGAGAACTAGGAAGATATCGAGGAACGACTCCACGGCACACCTCGGCGGCTCGCTCACATTGCTTTTATACAGAACTTTGGCGTTGTTCTCGTCTTGCACACAATGGAGTTGAACGGATAGCGACGCATATTAAATCTCGCACAATAGGCGTTCGCCCACAAAGGTGTCTGGCTGGCAATTTTCATCCGTTGTGATCTCGATCACAACGACAAATACAGACAGGAGACTGAATCTCCTTTACTTATAATAAATACTTGAATTCTGCAATAGAAGTAGAGACTTTGTGATAGTTTTTTTCAAGTTTTAGAAATGCGATAAAGATTACTTGATCAAAAATCAAGGAGACGCAATCGGTCACATTGAAAATACCCATTTGCACAGTCGAAGTTTCGGGTGTTCTGATTGTGATTTCACGGTGAGTTCTAGTCTGTTGTTTTTGAGCAATTCTTTTTAATAATAATTCACTTATTAGTTTTAGTCTAGTTTATAAGTTTTATCAGAGTTAATCTTGAAAATTGAAAACTTTTTTTGCTGATTTTATTCTCTTTAGCCAATTTCTCTAGTTTCCTAGTTCTTTAGTCGATTTCTATCAAATCTTTTGATCAATTTTTCTATTACAATATTCAATAGATGACTTTAGACTATTGCAATGATAAAAGCAGCTATTTAACCAAGATTTAACCAAGATTTAACCAAGAATTCACTCATTTACAAATACTAGAAGATTTCTACACTACTGGACAATGAAATATCATATTTGAAAAAAGATCGTCACTTTCGCACGTCTGTAACTCCCTTGTCTTTACCGTATTTCTAAATATGAATATTACCATTGTGTAGCCCTTGAAAAGAGCTTTCAGAAAATGTATAACACTAATAATTTAAACTCAAAGACAAGGGAGTTACAGACGCCGGAAAGTGACGATCGTTTTTCAAATATGATATTTCATTATCCAGTACTGTACATGCGACAGACATTTGAAAGATGCAAACGTTGAAAGTCTGAAAAATGCTCTGAAGAAAGCCTGGGCGGACCTGGGCGGGCGGAAAAGTACCCTGCCGGGTCGCCGCGGCCCACAGTTATCCAAAGTACTGTACTTTCAGAGTGTCGATGAGCAAAAGATGAGAGATCATTTGACGATCGAGCATCGAAATTTCGGTGATGTTATTGATCAAAGGTTCGGAAAATGCTTGCTAAATAGCATTTTAAGCTTTACAAGTAAACAAATAACGTTTAGAACCCCGGAATTTCTCTCCGAACGCTCACGAAAGCTCAATTTCTGTTTTCCCGAGTTTGGAAAATTGGCAGCAGCTCCAGAGGACAAGCTGGGAGTTGTGAAAATGGTAAACTCGAATAAATGCAAGCATCTACAATAATTCTAAAAGCTAGAGCCAATAATCTACAATAATTTAAAAATCTACAGCTAAGAATCAAAGATTTCAAAATACCATATTTTCTCTAATAGTAGTGCACCCCGAGTTGGTGACTATTTTACGGTTTCCAAGCTTTCGTAGAAGCTCAACACTCAAATCCCCCACTAGATCTCATCGTCAGCTACATTTTTCGACCCCACATCGATAGGTTCTGATAAGCGGTTCTCGAGATTTCGAGCAATTTAGGCAAGGCCCATCGTGCACTACTATTAGAGAAAATACGGTAGATGAGAAAAAGAAACAATAATCGCGGCCGTTAGCCTATACTTTTAGCTTCATGTCATTGTTGCAGTTGGGACAATTGCGTTGATCTCCCCAGAAAAGTCCTCGTTCAGCTAGTCAAGCGTCAAAATCAGCATCAGTATTTATTGCTAACTAAGACCACTCCGTCAAAAGATTTAACGCACGCAAATCTAGCCTAGCTACAGCAGCGTTACTCGCTATTCTAAAATAAAAGACTCATTAAGTAGTCAGTGCTAAAAAACAGAAATCAACTACTGTATTTTCTCTAATAGTAGTGTACCCCGGCGAGCCGGATTGGTGACTATTTTACGCTTTCCAAGTTTTCCCGAGAAGCTCAACACTCAAATCCCCCACTAGATCTCATCGTCAGCTACATTTTTCGACCCCACATCGATAGGTTCTGATAAGCGGTTCTCGAGATTTCGAGGAATTTAGGCAAGGCCCATCGTGCACTACTATTAGAGAAAATACGGTATTTTGAAATAGTATTTAAGGCTGATTCAAAGCGATCAAGAAGAAAAAGTTCAATTTCCGAAGAAAGTGATGATAATATTGAAAAATCACATCGAATTGTCGAAAGGAGAAGCAAGTAGCGTATAAATTAATTGGAAATCAACTCCTATTACCAATTTTTATTGTATTTTATTGTATTGACTTTTATTGTATTGACTCTTTACCTTTTCCAAGCTTTATTCTGAGTAAACCCGTAAAATTTCTTTTCAATTTTATGAAATAAAAATCAAATTCGACATTGGAAAGGAGAAAATAAATTACCCGAAAAAATTCGAGGAGATTTGGGGAGAAGAAGAAGAAGAAGAAGAAGAGAGATCTCATACTTGCGTTATATATTCAGATCCCTCGAAAAAACTTCTGCACACAGGAAACGCAAACAAAAAGAAAAAAAAGACAGGCAAAAATCACCGCCGGGATTGAGATCAATAAAGTGTTTGTGGAGAAAGAGAAACTCGTTTCCTCGTTCTCCAACATCATCGTTCCGCCATCGTCCTGGAAATGTTTGAATGTTTGAAGTTTTCATTTAAATCAAGTTTATGTTAAGTTCATGAATGCTTAAACGTTTTCTTCTAGTCAACTTTCTACAATGAAAGCTTATATGAAGCTTTGGAAAGCTTTTTGAAGGTTTTGAAAGCTTTTTGAAGGTTTTGAAAGCTTTGTGTAGCTTTTGAAACCTTTTTGTAGCTTTTGAAACCTTTTTGTAGCTTTTGAAACCTTTTTGTAGCTTTTGAAACCTTTTTGTAGCTTTTGAAAGCCTTTGAAAGCTTTTGAAAGCTTTTGAAAGCTTATATGAAGCTTTTAAAAGCTTTTGAAAGCTTTTGAAAGCTTTTTGTAGCTTTTGAAACCTTTTTGTAGCTTTTGAAAGCTTTTTAAACCTTTTATGATCTTTAGTAATGACTAAAATTGGCTCATAATTTAAAAATGACTTCAATTCTTTGAAGAAATGAATGCCAAAGTATTTGGAACCAAGGGAATTGAACCCTAGACCTTCTGCACATCGGGCAGATGCTCTACCAATGAGCTATCGCCTTCTTTGCCCAAGGAGAAATAGGAAAGACAAGGAATAAGAAGAAAGGAAGAAATAAAGGAAGAAAGAAAGGAAGAAAGAGAATAAACTACCTTGAGAACCCTGTGCTTCCTACTTAAAAATCAGACCAATCGAAAGTTAATCGAAATTAAACAAATTAATCTTTCATAGATCTTGCTTTCCATTATTTATTTTCCAAGTTTTAAATCTTTCCAAATCTATATTAAGAGCTATATTAAATAAAGAAATTGAAACTAAAGTAACTACAAAAATGCAAACCTGCAAAGTGCATAGCCATCTCGGCATCATTAAGTCTTCCGAATGTTGTTGGGTGCATTGTTGTCGGCATCTGCAAAAAAAGAAATTCAGCTATTTAGGCTAATTCTATATAGAATTCATAACAATTTTGTCATCTTTTAAGTAAAAATATTTGGTACCTATTTGATACTTTGCCTAGCTCGTACCCCTTTGGTAGATGTTTGGTGCCTATTTGGTGCCTATTTGGTGCCTATTTGGTGCCTATTTGGTGCCTATTTGGTGCCTATTTGGTGCCTATTTGGTGCCTATTTGGTGCCTATTTGGTGCCTATTTGGTGCCTATTTGGTGCCTATTTGGTGCCTATTTGATGCCTATTTGGTGCCTATTTGATGCCTATTTGCTACTTTGCCTATCTGGTACCCATTTGGTAGATGTTTGGTGCCTATTTGGTGCCTATTTGGTGCCTATTTGGTGCCTATTTGGTGCCTATTTGGTGCCTATTTGATGCCTATTTGCTACTTTGCCTATCTGGTACCCATTTGGTAGATGTTTGGTGCCTATTTGGTGCCTATTTGGTACCTATTTGGTACCTATTTGATGCCTATTTGCTACTTTGCCTATCTGGTACCCATTTGGTAGATGTTTGGTGCCTATTTGGTGCCTATTTGGTACCTATTTGGTAGCTATTTGGTACCTATTTGGTACCTATTTGATACATTGCCTATCTCGTACCCATTTGGTACCTATTTGGTTAACTTTCCATTTCAAACTCTTCTTTTCTCACTCACCTATCCATACAAGTCTCTCTTGTGTCGAATGTGTGCACAAAGGAGAGATCATTCCTCTGGTGACTGGCTCTGAAACATTTGCATAAAGATTTACAGAAAGATTTCCAGAAAGATTTGCATGCTATTTTTAAAGATAAAGACTAATCAAATTCGATTTAGATTAGTTCCTCTAACTTACTTTCGATCCACATACGGTTTTGCAAAAGTTTTTGCGTAAAATAAAGCAAAGAGAAGATAAAATGTGAATGATGATTTCAACCAAAGCATCCCATTCAGCACTGATCCCGTTTTGAATAGATTCTGAAAATGAAAATGAAAATAGCATTGAAATAGCATTGAAATAGCATTGAAATAGCATTGAAATAGCATTGAAATAGCATTCAAAAAATTGCTAATAATTTTTGTCAAAGATTTTCAAGAATCAATGAGAAAAGAGAGTGAAGAAATCCCTTGAGAGATGGGAGAAACGGATTATCGGATCTCTTCAGTGATGAGAGACGATTTCTATGGTGACTCTTTCGTGAGATTTATTATTTTTAGATCAGAAAAAAAAGTAAGTAGTACTTGTTGTCTAAAAATGTCTAAAATTCGCTGATATTTAGTTAAAATTTACATTGAAAAGCAGTTGTCTAAAAAGCAATTGGCATCGGAAACTTCTGAGCTAGATAAAATGAGAAATAAGAATACTTTTATTTACACAAATAATGTACAACCCACAAGCACAAGCTCTAAGCTCTAAATGTAGGGAAAAAAGAACTAAAAATCTAGCCGGCGGCATTGAACCCTTTACCTCCTGATTATGATACAGGACTCTGATATCCGCTTGCGTTACATCTGGATACATGGCCGCCATGACCGACTGCCTAACTAAGGAAAGGCACCAACTCATGGTGGAGTTTAAGCCTATAGAATAATACCCTGGTAGAGTTTGACACGGAGAATTCAAATCCTTTTTTTAGTTTTTCCTGCGCACGTCTCAATCACCAGAAACTTGGCATCAATCGTTTTCCTATGAATCCGTTACCTCGACTCCACTGATGGAGTGTTTTCCTTTCCTAGCGAGCGTCCTAAACTCCTAAAAATTTGATGCCAATTATTTGGTGATTAAGACATACGCAGGAAAAACTAAAAAAGGATTCAGATTCTCCGTGTCAAACTCTACCAGGGTACTATTCTATAGGCTTAAACTCCACCATGAGTTGGTGCCTTTCCCTAGTTAGCCAGTCGGTTATGGCGGCCATGTAACCGGATGTAACGCAAGCGGATATCAGAATGAGGCAAAAATAGCTCAAAGCATCAGAATTCGTTACTTTTAAATCTAAAAACTGCATATGAAAACATAGAGATAAAGAAATGGCCTAAGAATCGGAAAGCTAAGGATAGGAAAGCTAAGGATCGGAAAGCTAAGGATAGGAAAGCTAAGGATTGGAAAGCTAAGAATAGGAAAGCTAAGGATTGGAAAGCTAAGGATCGGGAAGCTAAGGATTGGAAAGCTAAGAATAGGAAAGCTAAGGATTGGAAAGCTAAGAATAGGAAAGCTAAGGATCGGGAAGCTAAGGATAGGAAAAATGATATCTACTTAAACTCCCGTTAACTCATAGTTCTTTTACATAAAATGATATTATTATAAAACAGATACTGGAAACCAATTGTCATTCAGATTAGAAACTTTAGAATAAAGTTGAACGTGTAGAACTTGAATAAGACTTTGATCTGTGGACTTTAACTAGTTGGGACTCTTAAGTTTAAGGGTGAGGGTTGTAGCCAGCCTTTAAACTATCTATAACATATAAATATGAACTGTTTGTAATATGAAGTGTAATCTGAATTGTAAGCTGAATTGTGAATTGTTTTGCAAAAGGTAGCAAAAGCTCGCCACTGATAAGTTAAAGCCTAAGCAATTGAAGTAAAATCGCAATTGAAGCAAAATCAAGCCAGATAAACGAGTGTTCCTTGATCAGAAAAGGCAAGGAAGTAGTGATTTAACAAAATAAACTTATAATATTTATTCATAAGTATAATTTTCTTTTTAAAAAATGCCTACGGAGACTAAACGACGGAAAAAGGAAAAAGGGGAAAATGAGTGCAAGGGATTAGTCAGGGATTTGAGCGGGCCGTTTCGTCAATTTCTTCACCAATTTCTTCCCATTTTCTTCTCATTTTCTACCCATTTTCTTCCCATTTTCTTCCCATTTTCTTCTCATTATTGTTTTTTTAACATTCCGAAAATGATATCGCAAATTGGGAAATGAAATTACTAACAAAAACAGTTGACGAAATTTTCTTTGTTTTTATTTGATTGTTGAGTTTAAAAATGAGAAATAGCGATTAAAAATAGTGATTTAAAAATAGTGATTAAAAATAATGATTTATTTTGTGTAAAACGGTTGCCTAGTATCATTAGCTTACAATTATAAACAATAAAAACCAAAATAAAGTCGATTTTTTTTTATATACTTTTGAATTTATAATGTTAAAACAACAACTTCAACTTTCTTGAAGATTGTTTATGATAAGTTTACAGTCTATAGTTTATTAGTTAGAGTCTGGTATAAAACGCTGGTAAAAAGACGCCTGAACCTTGCTTTAGTGCTAAATCGGACATCCAGATCCGAACTAAACTCAATTTTAGTTCTTAAGTGAACGTTCGAATCCGAAATAAACTCAATTCTAGTTCTAAATCGAACTGGATAAGGACGGACGTTCTGAACTGGACGTTCTGAACTGGACGTTCTGAACTGGACGTTCTGAACTGGACGTTCTGAACTGGACGTTCTGAACTGGACGTTCTGAACTGGACGTTCTGAACTGGACGTTCTGAACTGGACGTTCTGAACTGGACGTTCTGAACTGGACGTTCTGAACTGGACGTTCTGAACTGGACGTTCTGAACTGGACGTTCTGAACTGGACGTTCTGAACTGGACGTTCTGAACTGGACGTTCTGAACTGGACGTTCATTTCTAAATTAAATCTAACACATGCACAAAATACATTTGCAATATCAAATGATTACATAAAGAATTTGAATATAAATTAAAGAATGTAAAGAGTAAAGAAATGAATGGCAAAGAGTTTAGAAACAGGGGAATTGAACCCTTGACCTTCTGCTTACCAGTCAGCTCTACCCACTGAGCTCTCGCCTTCTTTGCGCAAGAAGAAATAGGAAAGAGAAGGAAGAAGAAAGACAGGAAGAAAGGAAGAAAGAAAGACAGGAAGAAAGACAGGAAGAAAGAAAGGAAGAAAGAAAGACAGGAAGAAAGAAAGCAAGAAAGAAAGACAGGAAGAAAGACAGAAAGAAAGGAAGAAAGAAAGACAGGAAGAAAGACAGAAAGAAACAAAGGAAGAAACAAAGCAAGAAACAAAGGAAGAAACAAAGGAAAGTACAAACTTTAGCTAACTGGTCAATTTGTCAATGACAAGCGGAAAGAAGAAGAGGAAGAAGAAGAGGAAGAAGAAGAAAGATCCCATTTCATTCAAACATTGTGACTTTTACAAGATTTCGAATGACTTTCACGTCAAAATTCGTTTGAATCGACGTCTTTTGTTCATTATTTCTTGTCTTTCCAAGAAGGGAAATCCCCAATGATGACTTTTGAACGAAACGAGTGCTCCAAAATTTGCCAAATTGGCAACACGAGCTCATCGATTTTCCTTCAATCGAGGCAGCGAAACGGGGCTTAGGCCATTCGAGAATTGGTGAGAACTTTGAAATTCGATCACTCAACCCAAGCCCTCATGTGTGACGGATTTGCGCAAGTATTTTCAATACTATAATCTGTTTTTGGTTTTGTTTTGGTGAAATCAAAGATTAGAGAGAAAAAAAGCGAGGGTTTAATGATTGAATTCAATCATTTTTCAGCTTGGCATCTATCAAAAAGTTATCATTTTTGAAAAGATTCATTAGATATTGTAAGACATTCTATTATTGGGTTGGTGAATTGAAAATTGGACTTTGCATTGGACTTTGCATTGGACTTTGAACTAAAATTTATTGAACATAAAACCATGAATTCATTCCAAATAATTTCCATTATTATTGACGACTTCTGCCCATTTTACAGGCAATTTGCGGATTCCTATTTCGTAGTAGGATTTTGGTTTTGAATCGAAAAACTTTCAAAGCCAATTTTTGACTGCTTCTTCCGAATTGAAGTGTTCTCCCGCAAGCTCATGGTCCGGAATAAATAGTAATCAAAAGGAGCGAGGTCCGGACTGTATGGGGAATGCGCCAAAAGTTCCCCAAACAAGGCTATTCATTTTAGAGCTAGTCAGTTTTGCAATATGAGAGCGCGCGTTGTCGTGGAGGAGAACGATCTTCGACTTGGAGGGCCTATTCTTCTTCAGGGATTCATTCACCTTTCCCAACTGTTCACTGTATTTGATTGCATTAACGGTCGTCTTGCTAACCAGCAACTCCCAGTACAAGTGTGTGAGACAAGTGTGAGACTCAAAAATGGAGGACTGGAGATGGAGACTGGAGAAGTCCCAGTTTGAGCACTTTCTTCAAAAGAAACCCATTTTGGTGTCAATAGAAAAGTTGTAGAGAATCAAAAATTAGGCTTATAGTCAAATTTCCAAAAAGATACACTCAGTAGTTTCGCTTAAAATGCAAGTTTTGTTGCAAGCTTTGTTGCAATTTTTGTGAAAATTCGTAAATTTCGCATTTCTTAAAAACGAGTTTTTGAATCGGTCTGAAACTTTGGATATAAGCTTGATTTTTGATTCTCTACAACGTTTCCATTGACACCTAAATGGGTTTCTTTTGAAGAAAGTGCTCAAACTGTCACATATGACAATAGCCCGCAGGTTTCAATTCACCAACCCAATAGTAGACAAAATTTTATGACGATTGCTTGGTTCAATCGAGAGAATGAGATATAACTGTTGAACTAAGTCAGTATATGGATTTGACCTTATTCTAAATGTGAAAGAAAATTTCCATACTTCTACTAAAAAAAGATAAATCAAAAGAGCTAACTTAAGTTTAATTGTAATCGGATGTTAGGCCGATCAATCCTCCTAAAAATCTTCTGGATCCTTTTTTCATTAGTGTTTCTGTAGAGCTAGAGTCCTAGAGTCCTAGAGTCCTAGAGTCCTAGAGTCCTAGAGTCCTAGAGTCCTAGAGTCCTAGAGTCCTAGAGTCTCCTAGAGTCCTAGAGTCCTAGAGTCCTAGAGTCCTAGAGCCCTAGAGTCGTAGAGTCTCCTAGAGTCCTAGAGTCCTAGAGTCCTAGAGTCTCCTAGAGTCCTAGAGTCCTAGAGTCCTAG